GATCATATGCGGTTCTCATTATCCCTCTGTTACGGTACCTCCAGGAACGAAACGTACAAACCGCCGTTTAGCGAGTATTCCCCGTTCGCAATAATGTGGTCGGGTAGCGGGTATAATAAAACCATGCGAACGCCAGTCAGGGAACACTCCAAACTCCCGAACGGTACCTGTACGGCTAATTCCCTTCGCAAGCCGCAAATCCACGAACGGCAATTAATAACCGAACGACAATCTCTCCCAAGCGGCAAATAATCCAAATAAGCAGTCTCTCGCCGCTAGTATCCAAATCCCCCCAATAACGAGACCAAGCTCCGCTTTGAGGGTAAAACACGAACTGGTTTACTGTGGGCTACCTGCCCGGTATTTATGCAGGTCTCCCACTTGGTGGACACTCCCCTAGGGGACCAAATGGGAGACTGAAATCACAGAGGGACATGGGGACATTCTGGACATACATCCCCACAATATTCCCAGCATGCAGTACAGTTCCCTCCCCTCTGCTCGGGGGATAATTGGGAAGTAATTCAATTATCTCCCCGAGCAGAGGCAATCGCCATTTTAGATACAAGTTACAAAAACACACAAAAATCCATAACTTAATAACTGCTGAACATTTTACATCAGTCTTGCATATCCCCAGATAGCCTGGATCTGAGGGCACATTATTGGAGAATAGCGCTCAGATCCCATTCGCACAGTTCAATCGCCATGGAGTCAAAGTCTCTTTCAGTTCTTCGGTATGCGATTGACTCCATGGGACGGCTATCTGGGTTAAGTCCATTCGTGTGGTTGAATCTCCCGAACGGCTGTCGTTCGCATGCTTTTGTCGATTGAGAAGGGGAGGTCGACGGCTTCAGCGGTGTTCGGCTGAAAAAGTGTCCGTTTTCCGATCCATGAAATAATCGTTGAACACCGCTGGTCGTTCGCATGGACAAAATGGCCGCCGCCTCGTGGTCGACATACGAACGACGACCACCCGGCATTCGGTTTTTAATTGAGAAGTGTCTGTGGTTAACCGCAACGTTCTAATTGGGATCAATAGGTTAACCAGCAGCACACTTCTCTTCTGGGTGGCCGTCCGTTCGGTAGTTCCGTTCGACAAAACCGACATTCCCTTAAATAAAGCATACGAACGGGGAAATTCATGAAAACGGAAAAACAGACGAACAACGCAGTTATAATCCAGACAGATGGGTCTGTCACACGGCTCCCCCCTTGTGGAACACTCCGGCAGACCCGGCTTGACCCTTTGGCGGGTCAACTTGGGGATGACCGGACTGAGGAGGAGTAGGGACGTCTGTTTGCCGAGATAACCCATCTGCATTCCCATTCTGCTTACCGGGTCGGTAGCTGATGGTGAAGTTATATGGCTGTAGTGCCAAACTCCACCTCAGCAGTCTGCCATTGTCTCCTGAGACCCGGTTAAGCCAGACGAGGGGGTTATGGTCCGTAATAAGGGAAAATTCTTGTCCATACAGATAAGGGCTCAGTTTCTTCAGTGCCCAGACCAGGGCTAAACACTCTTTCTCCACTGCCGCATAACTTACTTCCCGGGGTAGTAACTTTCTGCTTAAGTATGCGACAGGGTGCTCTCCTCCATCTTCCCCGACCTGGCTTAGCACAGCCCCCAGTCCATACATGGAAGCATCTGTATGTACAAGAAAACGTTTGTTAGGGACTGGGGCAGCCAGGACAGGAGCATTAACAAGAGCTTGCTTCAGTGCCTGAAACGCGGCTTCACAAGCTGGAGACCACAGGACCTGCTTAGGCAAATTCTTCTTAGTCAGGTCAGTCAAGGGCTTGGCAACCGTACTGTAGTCGGGGACAAAACGTCGGTAATACCCTGCCGTCCCCAGGAAAGCTAGCACTTGGGTCTTGGTGATAGGTGTGGGCCAGTTAGCTACAGCCTCTACCTTGGCTGGCTCCGGTCTCTGGCTCCCA